CTCAGTTTTTCCGCCTGAAGCCCGGCCCAAAAGCCTGAACAGGGCATAAATCACTATTTCAGTAGACATATAGGTATAATATATCATTTAAATATCCCAAATTCATTATTTTAATTAAAAAGTACACTATTCATGTGTTTCGGGCCGGGCCAGGCTGGGCTTGGGATTTGAGGTCAGGCTTTGCAAAGCCCGGCCTGAACCAGGCCCGACCTGGAGGATGCCCAGGTTTACTTGAAAGGCTTGGTGGTTGGAAGTATAGTCTTGGCTCTTGTTTATTATTCGTAACAAAAGAATTGTTAGCCCGCATCTATACCTCCGTTTACTAGTGCATGAGCAAAATTTTGTTGTCCTTCCATCGCAGGGACACCCATCTCACATGATAACCACATTACCCATGTGTAAAACCCCAATAGGAAAGGTATACTCCTAGACTCCTAGTTTGTACTTGCGGTTATGTTTGTGGCAAAAAGCTATGCTTGGAAGGTAAACACGCACAAGCATGGAAACCCAAGATGGCAATTTGCCCATAGGTATTTCGCAATTTTTCCCCATGGGTAGAGTATGGGTACGATTCTTTGCCCTTGGCCCTTGGTAACTTGGTTAGACAATCTCCAATGGCATCGCCCACTCCCTCGTGCTCATCCGAACCGGGCTTTCCAGACAGAAAAGGCCTCCAGCGGGCTCCCTACTTCGGCCCTATCTGACTCATAGTTCGAAATCCCCTACCGTAGTGTCAAATGAAGGGGAGTAGGGGAGTCCGGTCTGTCCGCCACGTAGGCCACATACACCGGAACCCCTCCCCGTCCCCACTCCACCCTTCCTTCTCCACTCTATTTGCTCGCGTCCCATCTCTCACTTCGGTGGCCATCGCCGTAACCCCACCCCGACGGCCGCTGCCGCTCCCTAGCTCGATCGTCGTGCTCCCACCTCGATTTGAGTCCACTACCCAGTCCATCCTCCACATGGATCTATCCAGCCACACGGATGTGTCCGACATGGACTCCAAGATGTTTGAGGCACTGTCGGCCATGCTTGGGATGAACTTGGAGAGCCTAGCACGCAAAAAGCACAACACCAAGCAAAAGGCTCAAGCGGCAGCTCCTCTAGCTAGCGTCCATGCCATGCTCATACCTGCACTTGCACGTCCGGCCGCCCAAAGAAGGAATAGATGAAATTGAGAAGGAGAGATGGCATGTGCCAAAAGAGATAGAATGAAGGAAGAAAAGAAGGACGGAAGGTTCAACACATTCATGGAGATACAAACAAAGATTGTTGAAATTGAGAATGGGGAGGATTGCACTTGAAAGAGAGGAAGTTGGACTGGCAAGGTTCATCGAGGAGTCGAGGGTCATGTTCACCGACACTACCATCATGGATGCCGATGCACTCAAGTGGGTTCCGCCGGATGCCTAGCAACATCAATGCACGCCATGAAAATGACGATGTACACTGTTTCATTTGGTTTGTTCAATCTGAATCATGAACTTTGATTGAATTGTTTGTCATGCATAATTTATCTTAAAATTGTTTGTCATGATATATCTACCGTTGAATTGTTCTTGATTGTTGCAAATGGATGAAAATTTGAGTCTAAGAAAACGAGGGCAGGGGGATTTGAGGTGTCGTTGTTTACCACTTTGTCCCCTTAGGGGACACCATTTGACCAACACCCTTGGAGACCCCCTTAGTCATGGGTTGGACATGTGTCTAATTTGTTTGCAACTAGTTACACGGGTAATATTTTAATAATTAAGTAAATATTTTTTGTTTCATATGACATGTTGGCCATCATGGATGTATCACATGTATTTGTGAACCTTGACTTATATGGTACTATTTGTACATGCCGAGATGACCTGATAGGTACCCTCGAACATGGATACCCATCGGGTTTAGGCATAGCCGCATAGGCATGATTGTCTTGCCATGAGTGGGTGATGAGCACCCTTGTGGGCATGGGTTTGATATTGCTCGTTGTGCCAATTCCTGTGTGTGCTCCACTCGTTTAGCTGCCAACATGTATTTTTCATTGACATACGAAACTAGGTCGTTCTTGTGATGTCTCCACACAATGTCATGTGACTAGGCTACTAACTCCACGGGGATATCATGTACTGTGCTCCTTACCATTTGCAGTGACAATGCGCTCCCTATCTCGTCTGTGTCATTGCCTCACTTAGGCATTGTTGATTCCTAGAACCATGAATCCACAATGACTTCACTTGTTTTTTTTGCGGCATTCTTGCATTGTAAACGAACGACCAAGTTTTTCTTCAGAGGCCCAACACATGTGATTTCTAGAACCCTTGCATTCAGTTTTAGTTGTGTTGTTCTTGGGTAAACATGCTTCAAGGCATGCCCATGGGCAGTGGGCACCTCCCGTTGACAAGCATGTCAAGTGTCTATGCTTGTCTGTGGAATGCATGACTGACACTTTCATGTTGTCGATGTTTGTTTGCAACATGAAAGTGGTTAGGGTAATTTCCGACCGAAACCGTTTCCGAATCCGTTTTCATATGATACGGTAAGAGCTTTTTGACATCTGAACACAATCCGGTCTGAATACGAGTCCAATTGATAGGATATGGTACTAATATACCAGGCCGTAGGATAGTTCGTTTTTCCTAGTCGGATAATCCGACCTTTTAAAAATGGATATACAATTTATGTATGAAGAAGTTTTAAGTATTAAATAGCAATATGTGAATGTTATCTTTGCTTGTGAGACGAAACATGCTTTTTAGTGATCTATTTGGCTTATTTTAGTATATTTTAGTGCTTTATGTGTGTTTAAAGTGTATAAGTATTAATACTTGCTCATTGTTTATTTATAACTTTAGGGCAAAGCATTTATATATTTCTTGTATATGCATGTGGTATATGACCTTTTTTATCCGGATCCATTCCGTTACCTTACCATGTTTTAATCTCCATAATCCGCTATTTGAACTCGCATCGGCGCCGCTCCCGAATCTGACAATAAATATGCAATAGGATAAGGTATGAGCATTATCCATCCGAATCCGATTCGGTTTCATCCCTACTAAGAACAACACAAGGAATGTACGTAGATTTTTGTGACAGGGGTCGTCACCTTAGGTTACCAGAGGGACACAAGACATAAGCTTTACCCAGGTTCGGGCCATCGCGTGATGAACAATAACCCTACTCCTGCCTATATAGGATTTATATCCAATAGAGATTACAACCGGGTGCACAATGCCGTGTCTGGCGAGTTGGAGGCCGAGTTGCCGAAGTTGAAGGTGGACGACCTAGACGGAATGTCTAGGTGAGACATGCTAATTAGCTATTATATGCTTCTAGGGTTTCTGGAGTCGGACGAGTCCTTGTTCCTGCGAGTTGAAAAAGTCCATGATCTTAGTCGGTGACCACCTTCCTTCATGTCCATCATCTTGATGCACACGCCTTGGACTCCCTATTTGGTAGTTGTATGACTCCATTTTAGGGAGATTCGGGGCGGCATGCCTAGGGGAATCAACCACCCAAGTCCATGATCTTAGTCGGTGGCCACCTTCCTTCATCTCCATCATCTTGATGCACACGCCTTGGACTCCCTATTTGGTAGTTGTATGACTCCATTTTAGGGAGATTTGGGGCGGCATGCCTAGGGGAATCAACTGCCCAAATACGGGACCATCCGACCATGCGCAAGTAGGCAAATATGCCCCATTTTAGGACATGCGCATCATGGGCAAGTGCCGAATCATCTTTCCCTCGACGCATGGGCAACCATGTACGCAACACGCCTAGCTTACATCCCTATATCCTCTTCTATGAAAACACAGATAAGTAGATACCCTTTTGCCATCTTGCAATTTTGTGGTCACAGGTAGTTAATGTTTCAACCTACATTCACACAACATTAAGGCTTCCATCAATATCTCACGTGATCAACGATGGCGTTTTATTAGATGGTGACCTTGCGTGGTGGGGAAAATTGCTGGGCAGCCAAAAGCGGCAGGGCCCACCTAACTTTTTCTCTCTTCTATGAAACTCCTATGGACCCATCCATGTGACACTCTCCCCGGTCTTCTCTTTCTTGTGGAAATTTGAAATTTCTGAAAGTTTTGAAAGTCCATTTTTTGGAAGTTTGAATTTTTGA